GCCTAAAAGAGAATCCATGGGAACTGCCACCAAGAGTGCCACAGGGGCAGAGCCACATGGAGTTCACAATTTGCCACAGACTGCTTCGGCTGTTCCACAAGAACCTACAGGACTTAATGTTTGCCCTGCTGGATTTTGGACTTGTTTTGGCCCCAATGGTTTTTATCCTTCTGTGTACACCTTTTGGAATGTCAGTGTTTATCTTGTACCTTTGAATGTTGGATGTATTTAACTTTTCATTTGTACAGGGGCTCACAGTTAAGTTTGCCTTGGATCTTGGAGGAGACTTGGGACTTGGACTTTTCAGCAATGCTAAAACTGTTGGGACTTTTGCAACTCTTAGAGATGGACTAGAATGACTTTTGGACAAAGTGATGTGCATGAGACTTTGGGGGTCCAGGGGCAGAATGTTATGGTTTGTGTCTAGTTGTTCCCACAAAGCCTCAGATGCCGCTGAAGGAGCAAATGGCTTGAGAGGCAGGGCCAGAGGACCAGGGTGGGCCGAGGGGGACCAGAGGACCAGGGCGGACTGAGGGGGCGTGGCCAGAACCCCCGGGGCGGGGCAAGAGGGGCGGGGCCAGAGGATCAGGGCGGGGCCAGAGGGGCGGGGTCAGAGGATGGGGCGGGGCCAGAGGGGCAGGGCCAGAGAGGCCCGAAACCGTTACACTGGCTAGCCTGCGCTTTCTCAGAGGTGTCGGGAGGGTCATCCTGGACACTGCAGCGCCCCAGCCTCTCCTCCAGTGTCTTGAAACCTCCAATAACTGTGAGCTAAATAAACCTTTCCTTCCTTCATTTTAAGTGTTGGGTATTTGTCCCAGCAATGAGAGAAGAGTAACTAAGACACTATGTTTAACCTAATGTTTTTACTCTCTAATATTCTTGATCCTGTTGAGACATTTCAGTATATTAAAAACTGCAATGTTACTATCCAAGAGAAAAACCATTACCATGTATACACTGACCCTCATGATAAATATGGTCCAGTTAAAAAAAAAAAAAAAAACTATCATGCCCTTCAAACAAAAGCCTCAGGCACCACTGCCAGTGTCCCCGACTGCAGTGCCTGAGGTTTGGGCTACTGAAGGATCCAGAGAAGCTCTGTGTAGAGAACCCAGCAAGAGCACCCGGGGGCCGGACAGCAAGGCAGAGCCCCCACCCCAAGGAGCAACAGCAGCGGACGCAGGGCACACCCGTCCTAGGAGGCCCCTCCCATTCCTGACCTTGGATTAACTCTTAGACATAGAAAGCTCAGGCTCACAGCGCTCAGGAACACGGCCCAGAAATGCAGGGTCAAAATGCAGACCGCTCCAAGCGCATGGCCTTCACACCACAGACTCCTTCTGAAACTGGGGCCTCGGATGAATACAAAAACCAAAGCGTTTCATGCACACCCACCCATTCAAGACCTTGAACCAAGGTACCAAGGCAGGGGATGGAGCTCAGTGAATTCTATCACAGCACAGAATAGGTTTGCTGAGCACACTCACTGACGGGCTTTTTAAAAACATTAAATGGAAATTCAGCCATAAGCACAGAAGCCACCGCAAAGCCCAGACTAGAGGGCCTCGGGACTGGAGAAGCCCGCGGCGGGACGGAAAGTGTTCAGTGTGGCCTAAATGTGTCCCATACATTTCTAAGTTGGGCTGAAGGGTTTCCCCGCAACAGCAGGCGAAACTTTACTGTCATCTTTGCTTGTAACAGGAGCTGAGGTACAGCCAGTCGGAGGAGCCGGCTAGTCCAAGAAGACTGACACAGGCTGGAGCCATCCGGGCTGGGTCTGCACCTCACTTCCTGTTTCGGTGGGACACTTCCCGTGCTCTGGCTATAAATACGACTATGTGAGGCAGAGAGGCCTCCTGAACTACCTTCAGTCCCCAGACCTGCTTGTTTCTAGCATTGTAAATAAATTTGGTTATGATCACCAAGATAATATTTATGATAATTTTACTTTTGAACAAAAGAAACATTTATTCCCCTGGACAGTGCACATTAGGGTATGCAGGTGAGGACGGACTGCATGGCTGGAACCGTAGGCATGCTACTTCCTGTGATCCTCTTCTCCCAAGCTCCACATTTTAGCCTTGTACAGAGTGATGTCATTGTACACCCGGAAGTGGTTCAGCCTGCAGTCATGGCGGTCTGGGTTGACCTACAAGAGGATCCCGGGTGGGGAGTAGCCAGGTTTGCGTCAGATGGACCTTGCCTGCCCCAGTGCCTCCTTTACAGTCTTCCTTCCCACAGATTCCCACAGTAGGCCATGCTCCAGTCCACATGGCTGGCACTGATTTTAAGGAAGGTGACAAGCCAGGTCCCTGGAGTGGGACAGAGAACTGGGGTGCAGAGCTCTTAGGCAGGAAGGACACCGAACTTTACTCAGTGGATGATGGTACCTGGGAGGGAGCCAAGGAGCTGGGGTCTACACCAGACAGGCTGCTGGCTGGGCTCGGTCCCCAACCTCCTCCCCTTCTCCACCAACCTCACGGTGGTGCACCCTGAGTTTACAGCACAGCGACCGTTGCTGGGCACTGTACAGTACTACCTCATTCCCTGTAAAGGTCCTGCAATGCGGGCACCAAACACCTCCATCTCATCACAAGGAAACAGACTCATAGACGGCCTAACTTGCCCAGGGCCGCACAGCTGGAAGCCAGCGTACAAGCCAGCTGTGCCTGGCTCACCACCTGGCCCAGCCCCTGGGCGGCCTAGCCTCTCTCCCTGGTTACCAAGGAAGCAAGCCACACTTACCAAGGGCTCTGAGTCCCAGCCAATCTCCTGGCTTTCTGTCTGGGTCTCAGGATATTTCTTCCTTGGTCCCTGAGAGGCATGGTGGATGAGATTCAGAAACCTGGCTGGGAGAGGAGGTGAGTGAGGACCAGCGAGTGTGCTCACTGCACGCTCCATTGCAGCCCAGGGTGCTGTCAAGGCAGAGGCCTCTGTCAGGGGTCAGCATGCCTGCGCTGTACTCCACTCGCGGCAAGGGTGCTGAGTGTGCACTACGTCTCCTTGGCATTCTCCTGGGGCTGGTGTAGGGCCCTGAGCAACACAGCCCTGGCCCTTCTCTCCTAGAGCTTGTGGTCTACACTGGACACAAGCACATGTGCTCGCGCGCGCACACACACACACACACACACACACACACACACACAATCTACAGATAACAGACCTGAGAGGGCAGACACTAGGGCTATTCCAGGGAAGGAGGGAGGCAGGGGACATGCGAGCACCAGGGCAGTGCCTCCAGCCAGGCAGGGAAGAGGGGTCCTGCAGGTGACAAGCAGGTGGGAGACACAGAAGAGCTGAGGAAAGGCCACCGAGGCAGTGAGCACAGAGGCCCTGCTGCCCATCACCCACAGACCATGCCGGGGTTTCTGGTTTGTGAACCCTGTCTACAGCTCAGAGAGCCCTTGCACAGGGGTTTCCTCCATCACCCAAACCAGACAGAACGGGGGACTCGCTGCTGTGCTGCTGACCCAACCCACGCCACACACTTGTCCAGGGTTCTACAGGCCCACTTCCTTGCCCCACCTTCATTCCTGATGAGCCCCCACCCAGCCCAATGCCTAGATACCTCGTGGTAAAATGAAAACAGAAAGTGTTTACTGAGACCGCGTACCAGAAACTGCTCTAACACTTGCATCCTTTTCCTAGTCCTCACAGCCACCCTCAGGCACAGGACCCAAGAGGCCGAAAGACCCGCCTAAAACCACACCAATAGAGTGACCAAAGGAGGACTCCTCAGTGTGGCTCCAGAACCTGTGCTTCTCATACCTCAATGTTG